ATGTCCAGTACAAAACTACATCCAATATTCAGCATTGTTTATTCCAAACCAACAGTCAATCACTGCAAGATAGTGTTCAACTCTACATCAATGCGATTGTATACCATTTTGGTTTCAGTTGTAAATTTGAGCTATTTTGATTTGTCCAAACTTTGCTTGTAATCTGTGCGATTGGTTGTGGATTCAGTGCAAAGGTGAGCAAATCTGATATTTCTACTCGAGATACTGGAGTGTCTTGATTGAATGCACTTTAACAAAGCAGTCAATACTATGCTGTTTTGTTGGATCACATCAATTGACATACTCTTGGATACTTGTGGCTAGTTTACTGTGTTGTACTTGTTAGACATTGATTGTAATCTAGTTGGATGTCACGGATAGCAACAATCGACATAACAGTGGACACTATTGGACATGTACACTGCAATGTGACTGTCAGCAACCATCACCATCAGTGTGTATCATGTGTTTAAAAAGTACTCGCATGCATTGGATTCAACACCACGTTTGTGATTGGGTTTGATTTGGATTGTATTGGTGGTGTTGTTTTGCATATATCAGTAGATTGTGTGTTGATTTGAATGACATGATCATCCATTGTGATTCATGTACCACGATGACAATCTGACCTGTTGACACGGCCAGTTTGTTGAACGACCTGTCAATCTCCAATTCGATTATAGTACAACGTCACTCATTCAGTGTATCAACGACAGATTGCCGAGTTTGATGTTGATCATGTTGTGACACAATCAGCAGTGTTTGACGTATACAATCTACATTAACCTAAAATGACTGTGCAGTCATACCAACGGAAAAGTCATGGTTTTGAAATACTGCAATAACAGGTTGTTTTATACTGTTGTGTCCGAGTGATCAAATACATGACCAATTGGACAATCAGTCAAATATTTGGTATACAGTGACAGTATGTGCTGTAGTAATGGATTGTATGTGTGATGATAATTATCCATAATCAGGGTGACATTACCTGATTATTAGATATATCACCGCAATTGGGAATATCAACACAGTATACTACTGAGGTTGATTATACACCAAGAGCGATGTTTGTTATTGATCGATTCCATGGTGTATTTGGCGTTTTCTGAATATCCATTTAAAAAATGCTGATTGTCACCCTTGAAGCTGCCGTTGTTATAAAATAACAGTCATGTATCAGATTCAAAACACTCTCATCAAACTGATTGATACAATGCATTGCAACATTGACAAGATATGCGATCGTGTGTCTAATTATTTTGTGATTCAAGAGTGTCAATATTCAATCACTTACAATTCTGATTGTGGTGGAATGATTGACTCTACATGTTGAACCCTTTCCATTGTCCTGGTGTTTGGAATGACGATTGGTCATCATGTGTTGTTGTTTAATCCAGACTATTGGCTGGTTATTACTTTGAACATGTCAGAATTGACAGATGTTACACTGGTAGCATCTACTTTTGCCTGTAAAAATACAAATCACTTGTTGCGGAACATGTTTGGATCTTGGCAGCTATGTCTGTTGTTGAATGGAGTGAATGCATTCATGCATCTGTCTTGCTATCTTCAGTATTTCCAAGTTTAGCATCAATTCAGTTTTGTGCAAACCCATCAATATACACAAATGGGAGTTGTGTATGCAATGCAATGCAAGAATATTTATAATGACGACTGGATTCCTATGTTTTGAAACAATTTCTATTTGCAATTAC